TATATATATATATATATATAGGTCCATTTAAGGACCTATTCGAGTAAATCCACAGCCACAGCTCTAAGGCAATCTACCTACTGTTTCCGGTGAGGCCAACTTACTAATCTATTCCATTTGCCTCTTCAAACGAAATGAAAGGTACTCCAATATCAATCCATTAAGTGATTCTTCGAAGCACAATTTATCTACATACCTAAGGTTTGCCTGAATCCTGTCTTAATTCCAATTAATGTTGACAATTTCGCATTATTTTTCTTAAGTTTAATGGCAACCAAATCATTGCGTACACCCAAATGGTCAGTACTAGTCTCACAAGACCGATTCGATCTAGAAATAACATTAAATTTAAGGATAATTTTACGTGAAGGGTAGACTTTCAAAAAACGAATGCGATTTACCTGTCTAGTCGGCAATTTCTTGGTTTTTCTATATAAAGGCGAGTTCCGAAAATAATGTAAATCGTAGGTACTTCAAAGAAAAACTAAGCTTCGAAACTTTCTTTAATGATTTATTGTGGCTTAACTTTCTATTTAGAAGAAAAAGTTGGTTAGATACAATCTGTGAGTTAGTACCACCGAAACCTCAAGGAGGATTTCCGTAGAGTTAAAATTGATGGATTATTCGAATAAGTCCTCAGCCCACCGTCGTGCGACTCTGATGAACCTGTGCTAAACTTTCGTCTGTATTATGACAGGCATCATCAGCGCAAAAATCCATAAGCTATGAAATATCAAGGTGGTGATCTGAGAACCTCTTTACGCAATCCACAAGTCTTTACTCCGCCGCAATCCTTCGGTTTTCGATGATACCATTTTTCCGAACTTCTTTGAAGTGGAAAGCAATGTCACAATATATCAATAAATACGTATTTTAAACTTAATCTTTCTTCATAATTGCAATGATTTAGTGTTTCTGATTGGGACTATGATTAAAATATTTAAATTAATCTTTTACATATGAAAAACTACCATATTGCCATGGGTCCCCTTGAGTCACAGGGAAAATATGAATATCAGGAAAGGTTAGAAATTTCCCCGTAAATTCACATTTCCCCGTGACCCAAGGACACGTGGCAATGGGGCATAGTGATTAACTTGAAAAGATTATTTACTGCGCTGCCATGGCTCGAGTCCCGTTGGGGGTGTTAATAAGACAAGCGATGTCCAAACTGCAGTCCACCTTGGAATGGACTACCTTTTGGGGAAGCAAGGCTATGTGAAAGTCAACGAAAATGTAAGGTCTATTTGTATCACTATGAGAAAAATTCAACTACCGTCATCCTTCATCTCTTTAAACGAAAGAGAATGGATACGCTTAATATATAAACGACTTACTGGTAGTCTCGTAAACCTACTTCTAAACGAAACATTAGTCTGTTGTAACAAAGGTTGCTTTTTTGGGGACTGATCAGCTGTGCTTATGAAAATGTAATGTGGATCGCTTCTCAAAGGGTTGGGTGGCAGTAAGCATCAAGATGTATTGATGGCTATTAATGAATTTGTGTATTTAGATTATATGCACGGATCGTATGGCTTCTGGGTGGAAAAAATACGATTCGTAGAGGTTGGTTTGAGATCCATTCCCAAAAAAATGGCATTGAATCAGGCTGAAGGTTTGGCTGAAACTAAAGGTTGGTACATGAAGCTAGCAGTGATACATGGTCGCTACTCTTATTAATATCCCTTAATGGTTTCATATTGTTTTTCCGTTTATTTCCTATGAACTTTAGATAAAAGGTGTCTTTAATTTTGCGTTATCGGAAACCAAAGAATCTTTTGTCCATCCGTCCTCATCTTGTGAGATCGACCAATAAAGAATCTTTGTTAGGCTTTCCTCTTTCCTGTGACATCATAGCCTAATACTTATTTAATAAAATGATCAAATGGCCGAGATGCTCATTAGTCAAATGCATTGATAGTGCTCGAATTACACTTAATTTATCAAGCCTTCTACCCAATTAAAACTCATGGCAGTGTGACGTTCTGCTAGCATGTCCAAGTTATATACTGCATTAGTTAGACTTAATTCCTTTTTAGGGTGTTGATGAGACCCAAGCGATGTCGAAATTGCAGTCCACTCTGGTGGCAAAGTTACGAGCAATTCAAATATCAACCCTTGATCAGAGTTCTTAATCAAGTATTACTTACACTATCGAAACTTATTTAATTTTGCAATCTTTACTGGTTAATTGATCTTTCTCTTTTCTCTACAGTCTCCATACCCTGCAGTTCGTTCTGGTGTTCTATATTATCGTATGTTCAGGTAATTTCAATTCCTAGGTCTGGCAGTTTCGTATCCAGATGAAGGGTCAGAATATTCTTGAAAAAGAGTCATTGCATCCTTAAATGTTATGATGCTCTCTAGCATAGAATCCTTGACATTTACACGTTTATAAGCTTCTTAGCTACTTTTATTAGTCGTAGCTCGATGCAAATTCTGGCCTTGCTTATTAATGCCGCTGAATGGGATAATTAATATCTTACAAAAAAGATACCAAACTATTCAAATAATTACACTTCAGAAATCGACACAATGCGATCGAGTTATGCCAGCAAACGAGCGTTATTTTTTTAAGAACCGGCCTAGTGAGATAATTTGGTTCAAAATGCTTCCCATCGGGAATATCTTCATTTCTTGGATTTATAAAGCCTACATTGCTTTGCTTTGATTTAACCTCTATTTGCAAGTGTATTTCCGGTAAGTTTCTTAACTATTTCTATCGCCAAATAGAGCTATATGGATTTAAACATTTTTACTGATTTGCCTCCATAAACTGCGTGGTATGCAACTCAAGAAACGACACAATTAATAATTTTGTATGCCAAATTTAGCCTTATGGACAAAAAATATTTGCACTTATTGACTCGTTTAATTGATGCCTTGGTGTTAGTTGGCAGGAGATTTGATTCAACTACATAGATTTCACCAAAGGACTAGATCATGTTCGCAAAATTTGTCTTTGTTTTAAATTCTATTCCACAGACTTATCTATCAAGCAATTCGAGAAGTCTGCCTTCTTATCACTTCGAATTTGCCAACTTGCCTCGACTGAATATGAACTTTGATCTCGGTGAAGACGTGCTTGAGGTTACTGCCGTCCGTGGACTTGCATATCCTCTGCCCATTGGCTTTAGTAGTTCCGACCAGCTTGATACCTTCGTTTGCTTCGAGCTGCCTTTTCCTGACAATGACTCGCCACAACGCTACTCCACAGACTGGGCTCGACGTAGTACAGAACCAACGGACTATGGCGGAAAACAAGCGATTGCCCGCTTCACTGTTGCTCGAAAGTCGCGTTCATTCGGCCGCTTTCTACAAAGTCACAAGACACTAAAAGCGATCGTAATATGCTTTTACATACATACATACATGCAGGCATGCATGCATACATAGATACAT